ATATATATATATATATATATATATATATATATATATATAATTTTGCTTTTGCTTCATTTACTATTTTGCCATTATAGAAAAGTTATTAATCTCCATTTAGATCAGTGGTTCTCAACCTTTCTAATGTTATGACCTTTTAGTACAGTTACTCATGTTGTGGTGACGACAACCAAAAAAAAATATTTTTGTTGCTACTTCATAACTGTAAGTTTTCTACTGTTATGAATCTTAATGTAAATATTTTTGGAAATAGAGGTTTGTCACCACAAGTTGAGAACCGCTAATTTAGATGGCAAGGACCCTGATTTGTTATGGTCACACAGTTGTGATTCCGAGTTAGAATCTTTCTACCAACATCAGTGTTACTTTCTCAGTAACATACTGGCTTTTTGGCAGAGGAAGCAGAGCAGGTATAGGAAAAAGAAAGGAGAAGAAAGGAGAAACAGGAGGAAAAGGGAAAGAGTATGTCTTAGTCAGATGTTTTTTGTTGTGATGAAGCACCATGACCAAAAAGCAAGTTGGGGAGGAAAGGGTTTATTTGGCTTACACTTCCATATTGCTCACCAAAGGAAGTCAGGACAGGAGCTCAAGTAGGGCAAGAACCTGGAAACAGTAACTGATGCAGAGAGCATGGATGGTTGCTGCTCACTGTCTTGCTTTTCCTGACTTGCTCAGCCTGCCTTATAGAACCCAGGACTCAGACCATGAATGATACCACTTACTATGGGCTGGCTCTCCCCTGTTGATCACTAGTAGAGAAAATGCCCTGCAGCTAACAACGCCCTCAGCTTTAGAAGTCTTGTAAGTGTGCATCTGCACTGAGATGAATGCTGGTAAAATGCTGCATTTTCTTCTGAAGATACTGCTGTGTTTGAGACATGCACCATGGATGTTGAAAACAACACCTACATATTTCATGAAGAAGAGAAATAGGAAGCCAAAAATAAATGGGAGTTTTGGGCTAATAAGATATCCTGAACCTAAGTACCAGTGACCTAAAAATAATAGAGGGGTTGAAGATAAACCAGAATTTAGCCAGGTGTGATTGAGTAACAATGACTAGCTCCTAGTCTACCTTCATAATAGAAATGAGCAAATACCTTTAGGAGAAAATAGTTCTCTAGGGTGCTCTAGATTGTTTTTATATATGGTAACTGGAATTTGACAAAAAAAAAAAAAAAAAAAAACTACCTACCAAACATATCAATCACTGTTACAGTTGTAACAATGGAAAAAGTTTTAAAATATTGTAGGAATTACCAAAACGTAACACAGAGACAAGAAGTGAACATGTGCTGTTGAATAAATCAATTTGCTGTTGAACAACAAATAAACTTGTTCCATACAGGATACAGGATTGTTACAGACCTATAATGTCCCAAAAGCACAGTGAAGCAAAGACAGTAAGATATGCATGTGCTGCTTTGGGCAATTTAAATGTCACTTTGTTTGCGTTTTGGAAATTTTCTTTAAACATAAATGTGTATATTCCTAGAAGATACGAAAATGTGGCCAAATGAGGCTGTACATGGATGCTCAAAATAATAATGCTCATCTCCAGTTTGGATGACCTGCACATCTCTTTCCAGGAAATAAAAGAGTGAGCATTTATATGTACAAGAACTGAATGAGTCACAATCATGTTGATGCTTCATGATACTGTTGTATAAAGTTTTAGAAAGTGCAAACGTTGATGAACACATCAGTGTCTTGACTGAGAACTAGGAAGGACAAATTAGTTGTAAAGAATCAGAACAGTAACTCAGAGACTGGTGAAAATGAGCTCATACTGTGGTGAGTGTCATGAATATATACATGCACCAAAACTTCTCAAATGCTGGATGTGGTGGTAAACACCTTTAATCAGAACACTCAAAAGTCAGGCAGGAAGATCTCTGTGAGCTCTAAGCCAAAATAGTGAGTTCCAATCCAATAAAGTATACATAAATCCTATCTCAAATAAATTCTAACCTTTATGTGCCACTTACTGGCTGTCACTTGAAAAAGTGAACACTAAATTCACATAAAAACAGGGCCTTTATATTCTAAGGTTGTGCTACTCTAACGGAGCAAAGGAGCAGAAGCAAAACCCATTTGGACCACTACCCAGTTGCTGGATCTGGACTCCTCTACTTTTCTACTGATCTAATCCTAAACTCAAAAAAGTTCTGAATTTAGGTCCTTGGCCACATCCTGTTCTGATGAAGTTCATA